TCCATGTGGTGGACAAGCAGCTGTGTCGCCCGACCCTCCACATATGCCAGGAGCCTTTATAGCCGCCAGCATCCTTGTAAATGGTGTTATGAAATGAGTTTCTTTTTGGGGCCGACATGTGCTGTGAGAAGCACACAAGGACATGGGCTCTGCAGGCTGGTACATGGGGATCTTCCTCATGAATGGTGCCAAGCTGCGAGGAACAATCAGCTGGGACATATTCCACAGACTCTTTTCTGAGATGTTTAAAAGAATTCTTACACTTTCTTGGAGAGGAAGCAATGCAATATGTTCACATGTGTGTTTGTTGTTTGCAACAAAGGACTTCACAATGATATACTTGATGCAGCCACTGAAAGCGGCCTCATCCTCGCCCGCTTGGAAGCTGCACAGGTGTGTTCACTTCGGAGGGGACCGCATCCCATTTGCAGATAAAAGATAGCGGCTAGTGCCCCTTCAGCATAGTTGGTGCACCGCTTGAGACATCATGTTTCTTTGCTGTGAGAGCACCAGCACAAGGTATGGCAGTGATTCCCACCATCAAACACTCCTTCAGACTACCGAAGCACTGCACGCCCTCGACGTCCCGAACTCGTTGCTCACCCTCTTCTACAGTGACACGCCTACATTCAGGAGCCAAGGGTGCAATCTCCATCCTATAATTTTCTGATCCTTGCCTCAGGTGACCTGTGCAGGGACTTCGCCCTCGACGCCCTCGGCACAGAAGAGCACATGGCGTATGTGTGGAAGCAAGCTCTTTCCAATCTGAAGCATGCAACGATTGGAACAGCTGCTAAGAAGGGCCGGTGGTTCACCACAGAGGCCCTGACTCGCCACATGAGTCTTGTTGCAATTTAGCAGCATGTCATGAGTTGGTTTTCTTGTGAGAAACCAGTTTGCAGATTGGATTGGTGTTTCTGCCCCTTGTCAGGAAGCCCTCGCGGACATGTGAGCTGATCGTCCTCGTCTTCTTGGGGTTCCAGCGCAAGTACTGGACCAGCTGGTCTGAAACACCACTGTTTTGCAAGAGCATTTTCGATGATGCTGGTGAGGAGCCATGGATTCATGGGTCAGGTTATCTAGCCATACTGTTGGTTTTGTGCTTCTGATAAGACACAATCATGCTTGGTTCCATGCTGAAGGACATGTCTGCAGAGCCCTCGGCCTCAGAGCCCCCGTCCTCGGCACAGCCTGTGGCATTGGATGGGCCCTCGTCCTCGCGCAGGATGACTATAGCCTCGGGCCGCAAAGAGGTGAGCAGGCGCAAGGGGCTGGCAGGCTCGTCCGCGTTCAAGTACACAGCCGCGATTTTGGCATCTAGGCACACCATGCTGGCGATGGACGGCATGGAATACATCACACGTGTGTTGGAGGAGTTTTTTCGGCTGTCAATGACACGCATGCACTCGAAGCTTGGCATCAGAAGTTCGAATCAGTTTTTTATTGTGTTTTGTCATCTTTTACATTGCATGTTTATGTGCCTGAGACACAGGCCACACGGAACCGCCCACGTGATGCAAGACCTCGTCCAGAGCGGCCTCATGCCTGCCATTTATGGCTGCTTGGATGCCTTTGTTTCGCCCGCATTTTTGGTGCATCTTGGCCTCGACACAGCCGCCGGCCTCGAGTCTGCTGGCAAGGCTGGGTGGGAGACATATTTAGTGGTTGTTGGGTCCCTGGTTCATGTTTCTGCAACTGTCCCTCCTGATGTGAAATGCAAACAACAATGGACCCAAAGGCTGGCACCCAGACTTTGTCCTCCCTTTGGGTCTTCGCTGTCGCCCTCGCCGGTGAATTGGCCTTGACACAAACGGCATACTGGGTGCCACCACGAAGTTTCTTGCGGCTGCTGGATTCTGTGGATTCTCTTCCAGAGCTGAAGTGCTTTTGCTGCAGGTTTTGTTTTACATTCAGGGTTTTAGTGCATGAGAAGTGGTGCTTATAGTGTCTGCCCAGGCAATACTTCGAAGCTCTGGAGCGGCTGGATGCGGTGCCCTCATCCTCAGCATTTCACGCTGTGGCACAGAAAACATTGAGGAACATGGAGTGGCCCAACCAGCAGTCTCTTGCATGTTATAGTCACAGGTTACAATCATTCGTAGTTAATTATCATTGTGCCTACTCCATACTATGCAGGTAGGGAGCAGAACCTAAAACTTCAAACTTCAAAGTCTCTGCAAACATGTTCAAGGTGGGTGCGTGAGAACATGTCCCTGCTCAGTGAGACCGGCTTCAATTCCACGCCGCCACTGCTCACCCACGCCCTCGAGCCTTACGCCCTCGCCCACCACACGACCTTGCAAGTTGAGATTCCTGTCCGAGTATGTGTGAGTGATTGTTGGATTCTGGGTTTCAGGGTTTGGTGCTAGAGAGTATTTCTGGGCTTCCCAACGACAGCTAAGGAATCTTTTCAACGCTGCAAGGAAGAGGTGCAAGGAGGCTCCAAATGGCAGGCTGGACCCAAAGGGTGCATGGCACTGTGCATCGACTGACAAGCTCAACACAGAGTTTGGCCGGCCCGTCCTCACGGTCACCCCTGATGCGCGAGACACTTGGCTTGGCCATCCAATTCAGGTTTGAAAGCCAATTTCTCATGTCCTCATGCAGTGCTTCTCTACCTAAGGAAAGGTGTGCAAAATCTGCAAGGACATTGTCCAAGGATGAGTTCACGCCCTCGTCCTCGCTTCTTGGCGTTCTTCTGGTTGGCTCTTTAGACTTTAACTTTTTGGGGTTTCTATATATGGACTGTAATAAGGAGACCAAAAGCTTAACTTCTAGGAGGGGTTCAGACGTCGGCCAAGGCTTGTCACCCTCAGTGAGGCCATGGTCAGTGACCTGACAGCTGAACGACCGACGTGGCCGAATCACTCTGCCACTTGATAAAAGCTAACTGTGTTGATGTTGTTTGTTTAACAAATCTTCCCATGCGTGATGTTTGACATTTGAGGCGCGGAATCACAAAGAAGCACCGCTCTCGTCCTTGAACATGCTGAAGACTGGAGGATGCATCGCTACCATGGAAAAGGCTTGGCAGAGCCTGCTGCTGATTCCTGGAGCACTGATTTCCAACAAGGACACAAGGATGCTGGTTCTTTATACCTGCCGCCATGGCTTTCTCGGCCTCGAAACCAAATTCAGGCCACCTGTTTCAGATAGTGTTTTGTAACCTTTTTTCGTTGTGGCATGTAGGCTACATCCAAAGTTGGCTGGTGTGTTTCCAATCAAGCTTCCAAGGAAAGCACCAGATGAGTCTTTGGTGCTGGCTTGGCAGACTGGCAAGCCGGTCAAGTTCGACTGCATCTACAACCACCAGAAATGGAAGGCACGTGAGATTGAGATCATGCCACCCACGTACCCGTCCACGACCTCGTCACGGTCAGCAAAGCTACAGCTGCGTGTGAAGCCAGGGTCAGTGGGAAGCCCCCTTCTAAAGTTGCTTTGCTGGTTCATTGCAAGTTGTTATCTCTCTGTGCAGAATGAATAAGGGCCATGATTCTGTTGCCATGTGCTGCATCAGGTTCAGTGTGGAGCAGGGCCTGGTGGAGATGACTTGTTTCTATATGAAGAAGCTACTGGGCTTGCTGGGGATGAAGCTGCCGCAGCCGCCAACCGAAATAAAGCTGGTGGAGGCATTGGCAAAGCACCAGCTCGGTGACACGTACAGTGTGGAAAAGCTGCAGCAGATCCTAGCACGCAGAAAAAAGTTCGACAAGGCACATGGACTCTCATAAGCTTGTTGTTTGTGATGTTGGATTTCTGGGTTCTAGGATATTGACCAGCTGCTCCACAGGACGTCCTCGGCCTCGCATCAACTACATCCTCAGCACGGACTGTCCTCGAAAAGTTTGATGATGAGTTCTGGTCCTGGGAGGAATGGGAGCTGGAGGAAGAGATCTTCAAGGCGAGGAAGCAACGCCGCAGAGCAGAAGAAGACATGGCAAAGTTCGCTGCACTTGGGTTGCTTGGTGCTGCAAGTATTTCCACAACATGGCTCATCAAATGCTTTGACACGCACAGCTTCCTGATCCAAGGTCCTCTCCACCGGCCTCGACCTCACGTCCAATCAAGAAGGCCATTCCCTTCCCAGAGGGCCGTGGCTTCAGCCAGCCAGAGGCAAAAGCATACCTTCCACCTGGTGGATGGAAAATCTCACGGGAACGTGAGTGGCGTCACCGGTGGAAGCTGGAGTTCAGAGATCAGTATCTTGGTAATTCAACAAAGATGTTGTGCTAGGTTGTTGAGATTTCAGTAGTTGCTTAAAAGGCTTCAGGCTGGTTTCAACTCTAAATCTACTTCAGTCGAGGTCTCACCTGAAAAGGGATATCGGATTCAACGATCCTGCTGGAGACAACGCAGCCTTGCGAGACCTTCTTATGTATGCCTGGGCGATGCATGGACAGATGAATCCTGAGGCTGAGTGCCCATGGAACTTTAGCCATGTGCCGGCCTAGCTGTCCTCGTCCTCCATGCAGATCTTGTCATTGCAACAGCAAGCGTGCCCTCATCCTTAGGCCTTGATTTACAGGACAGCTGGGTGGCAGAGCAAACAGACCTTGTGCCAAAGCAGTGAAACCACAGCTTTATTGCTTGAAACAGTTGCCTGCTGGAAGCATGCCCTCGCCCTCTCTCATCAATCTCTGTGCTGCCGAGGTCGGCTTTTTCATGCAGAACGACGTTTCTGGCTGCCACGTGGTGGCTGTCATGCACACACACACACACATGCACATGCACACAGACACAGACACACATGCATGCACGCACACACGCATGCACGCACAGGCACATTCACACACAACACCCACACACACACATACATACACACACACACACATATATATATATATATATATATATGTACACACCCCCGACTGACAAAGGAGACCTTTTGTAAAGGAGCCCTTTCCAAGTCAGTAATTATTGGGTCCTTTGGACCCTTGGGGTTTGGGATCCTGAACCATCAACCTGAAATGCTTCAAGCAATAACAAGACTCCGATCTCAGGCTGGGACCTACCTATTTATGAGATGGACAACTACGGGCCCTACGAGCTGTTTCCTGGGAGTCTTTCCGCCATTAGACGGTTTAGGCTTTAGTTATGCGTTTTGTGTTTGTTGTTTTTGTTTGTGTGTTTTCAGGTTGATCTTGCTTTTTTTTACGAAGCGGGTGGAGGGGGGTCGAGGTGAGTGGAGGTTCGGGTGGGGTCTTTGAGTGCAGTTGTTGTTAGTTTGTTGTGTTTGCTTGGTCGTTGGTGTGTGTTTTTGTGTTGCATGCGTGTCTGTGTCTGTGTGTGTGTGTGTCTGTGTGTGTGTGTGTGCCTCTGTGTGTGTGTGTGTGTGTGTGTGTCTGTGTGTGTGTGTGCGTTTTGTGTGCCGCATGTCTGCGTTTGTGTTTCACTGGGACTGCGGGACGATGAGCTGAGGTTAGGGCTGAAGGGTTTGATCTAGCGGGCGCTCGGAATGCTTTCATTTCCATGCCATAGGTCCACCCACGGAGCGAAATTCTGGTCGGAGGGCCTCAACAGTTAGAAACGTTTTGTTGGTGAATCGTGGGCCATAGTTATACCCAAAACTTCCTAAGTACCTACATAGTGCAATGTTGGGTTTCTGGAATAGGAATTACTAGTATGGTTTGGGCAAGTTTCCCCCATATAGGTACTTAGGACCCTTTGGGATATGAAGGAACCGCAAGGAACCCTGCTCTAAATTAAGCCACACAAACATTGTGGGATTCATCGAAGCGGGCTTTAGGAGACTGCTTTCTGAGCTAAGAGTAGTTTGGGTACGGGGCTCAGGGCGGACGGACATCCAGGGGAGAGTGTAAGCCTGTGTCACAGGTCTATAAGGCCCTCAGGGGGTTTAGGGTCTAGGGCCTAGGGTTTTGGGTTTAGGGGTTTTTGGTTTGGGGGTTTAGGGTTTAGGGTCCATGTACCCAAATAGTATATACTTCGGGCCCAATGTACCTACATAGGGAGTACTTTAAGGCCAAAGTACATCATATTCGGGCACATGGATCCTTCGGGAGGGTTACCATAATAAGGGCTATTATGAGGAGTTAGTATAGGGTCCTTACTAAGTAGCCTTACTAAGTATATCGAAACATTGCTCTTAAAAATTGAGATTGAGGCTATTGGGTTTCCAAATTTTGGCCTTTTACTGTATGTTTTGTACAGGGTTGAGAGATTTACCATCTCCCAAAGGCTCCATGGACCCATATAGTATATACTTAGGCCTTCAAGTACCCATATAGGGACCCCTTTAAGGCCAAAGTATCCACTATAAAGGTACATGGAGCCTTTGGGTCTACGGGGTTTAGCTTTACAAGGACAGGAATCGAGGCTTCCTCGAGCCTTCTTAAAGGATCATGGGACTTAGTTCATAGGTTATAATTGGGGTTATAAGTCCCCTAAGTGGGGTTATCCTAATTATAACCTACTTATAACCTTACTTACTAAGTCCCATGAGCCTTCAAGTTCAACTCTTCAGACCCCGGGTCCAAGGTCTGCCGTATTTTCACTGTCCACGGTGTCGCTGGCCGTGCTTCTCTTCTCCTGCAGGCTGGGTTGTGTTTCAGTTTTGGGGTTTGGGGGTATATAGGTTATAACTAGGGTTTAGGGTTTAGGGTTTAGGGTATTATAACACTAAACCCCTAAAACCGATTTTGTATGTGGGTGGCTGTCAAAATTAGGATACCTCTTTGGGTCCTTATTGTGATACGGCACCTAATATTTATAGGGTACCCAAGAAGGGGCCATAATTTTGACCCTACTTTCGGAAACCACCATTTGGAGTCTAGCGCTTTAAGGCTCAGGGCTTGTAGGGCTATATGGGTAGTTGTCAAGAGTAAGGTCCCTTTTTGGGTACCCTAGATCATAGGTGCCGTATAATAGGGGCCCAAAACGGGAGCATAATTTTGACAACCACATATATAGGGACTCGCCTAAAGCCATGTGCCCAAACAGTATATATATATATATATACATATATATATATATGTGTAAAACTACCTATTTTGGGACTGCGTTAAGGCCAAAGTACATACTATCTGCACGCATGGACCCTTAGAGGATCCTCCTGAGCAAGAGGCAAGTGCGTGCAATAACGGGAGATGCACCGAAATCACTAAAAAGTCATGCCGCCCTTTGAATGAGTCTTGTTGTTTTGCTTAGGGGTATGCGAGTCTGCGACAATAAGTAAGGAACCTTACCAGCAACCCCGAAATCGTGATCCTAATTCTAACGGCACTCCGCCAAGACCGTGTGCAACCATCTGTACGACGTTGACCACACCTCAACAACAAACGTGTTTTCCCTGGGAAAACCCTAAACCTAAGAATATGTTGGCGCTGGATTTCAGTACCATGCGTGCACTCTTGTTTTGCTGTTAAGTGTTTGTTGGGTAACTGTATTTTCTTTCTCATCATCAGATCTTAGCCAAAACCAAGTCGTCCAAACACGTATTACAGTACTTAGGGTCCAGGTAATGCTTGTGAAGAGGCTAAACAACCCGTAGCTGCTTGATACATAATCAGAACGCTGAATCACAACTTGGAGGGTCGGGAGACTCAGTAAGTAGTTACCTTATCACGTTAGAAGTAGCCTAGAATGTAAACCTCAAACCCTGAAAGGGAGCCTAAAGAAGGGTTTCGGGTTCCCTTATAATTAGAACCCTGATAAATCCCTTCAAGGAACCCTTAGGTATACTCCTTAATTCAGGGATCTCTCAGAGGGTTTCGGGCTTCTTTTGCAGATCCCGAGCTGACAGCCAGGCGATTTGTCGTCTTTCTGCATCAGTTGCTTGGCGTTCTTCTGGTTGGCTCTGAGGACTTTAATCTTTGGGGTTTCTATATGAACTGTAATCAGGAAGCTAAAAGTTTAATTTTTAGGAGGGGTTCCGAAGTCAGCCAAGGTTGCAGAAGCCATCCAATGCTGACACTTTAGTGCCCTTAGGAACGGTGTTGTCTTTTTCTTATAACATAGCTTAAGGAGATTAGTGGAATATTTTTTCTTGTAACATAGCTTCGGGGGATGAATGTTTTCATTTTTCTTCTAACATAATTTGAGGGGATTACTGTTTTAACTTTCTTATAACATAGCTGAAGGGGGTTAATGAGCATGTAATTTTGATTCTGGTCCTAAGGACGTTAAGGAGAATGGTCACGAGCTGAATGGTCACGAGCTTGGTGCCCATGGAACAATAATTGAGCTTTGAGCTTGAGGCTTGCAATCCTTAGCAAACCTTTGTGGAGTGTATTATGGCGTTACCAGAATACTGACGACAAGGCGATATTGTTGCTAGTAATGCTTGCGGTTGTTTGTAGAGTTTCGATTTGGGCGTCTCGCAACCAATTCGTGCGATGCAATTTTTCGAACAGGTCTTATAACGACTCGTAGCAGGCAATTTTGCGTGAGCACTGTGATTAGCGCCATCTAGCAGCTAGATGGCCTTGTGCTGCACTTCCCGACCATCAATCACGCCACAACTGATGGACAAAGTCCGGCCTTACCCTCTGCTATGTCCTTAGGGGTACTTTGAAATAATTTTTAGTTTTGGGTTATTATAATCACTAAGAAACGGCTAGAATTACAATTTTTGCTAGGGTTCTAAGTTCAGCATAGTATCTACGGAAAGTTGACCCGCAAGCCTAACCCCGAAACCCAGCACCAGAAAGCCTTCTCGCTCCCCTGGCAGGCTTCATAGGTGCATTCTTAAGAAGCCCTGAACCCTAAACCCTTAGCCCAAAACACACAAAAACTGAAAGGCATGGTCTATCAGCCCAAAACCCTAAACTCTAAACCCTATCCCAAATAGCACAAAGACTGAAAGGCACGGTTCATCAGCACGACTTCCCAGACAGTGTGAAGCCTTTTCCTGGTCCTGCCAAGCAGGCATGGGCATGTATGCAGTGCAGAAAAGCAGTTCCTTTCAGGGTTTGTGCGGGGTTCTGTTAAGGAGTTGTTAAGGCTAGGAAATCGACAAAAAGCTTGTGTTGTGGTGCTTGGGCCATTTCGGCCCTATTACACATTACAGTAGGTTTTGGGGTGCGGCATAGACCTCACGCCCCAAAAGCTGCACCCTCAGTCCCTGCACACTCAGAGTTTGAGCCGCTCAGCTCTAAAAGCCCTGTAAAGACCCGTAAACCCTACTTGGAGGGGCAGGGGACTTAGTAAGTAGGTTATAAGCAGAGTTCTAAGTACCCGAAATGGAGTTACCCCAATAATAACCCTACTACTTATGACCTACTTACTAAGTCCCCTGCCCTTCCAAGTATCGAAGCCTCTAGATCCGAATCCTCAAGGGTCCCTCACCGTGCAGAACACACGATTTTGTCCTTCGGAAGGGGCGCCGAATAAGAGCTGCAACGTCTGTAGCATTACCGTTGTGGAACATGTATGTATACATAACTCCCAGCTCCCCTGTTTGCACATCTTATGTTCATATGCCTGTATGTACATATTAACGTATGCATGTATGTGTATATACATATATGTATATATGCATATATATATATATATATATATATATTTATATATATATACGTGTGTGTGTTTGCTTGTCTGTATCATTCGTGTATGTATATATATATATATATATATATATATATATGCATACAGACTTGTGAGGCATGCGTATGGGATTTTTCAGAACAGAGGGGACCAAGCAATTCACCTGTCTTATCCTGCACCGTAACACCTAAACAACTTAAACCCCTGATCCTAAATTATACACCGCAAGGCCCTGCCTATACACTCCATAGTATATAGTTCCTTTTTGGGATTACCCTATAGGATTCTAAAGATGAACCCCAAAAGGACTGATTATGGAGCCCAGATAGGTGGTTATTAAACCTTTTGCCCGACAGACTGGGGCCTCGCCTTTGTCTCGTGGGGTCGACCAAGGCAACCGCGCAGATTTTCGGCCGAGATATAACACACAGTAGGTCTCCCAGTCGGGGTTTAGGGTTTAGGGTAGTTAGGGTTTGGGGTCTCCCAGTGGGCCCTGTTCCCCTTTTTTCTAGTGTTATAGGTTCCTTATAGAACTACCCAGTGCGAAAGATCGCGGCTTGGACCCTAAGGGATGCATACGTGCACATATATATTTACATACGTACAAATGCCGTGTACGTGTATACATATATATATATATATATATATATATACGAATACATATATATATATATATACACACACATATGAATATATATATATATATATATCTATATATATATATATATATATATATATATGAATATGTATATATATATATATATATATGCATGAGTAAATAAAGCGCATTTGTCTTTGTTTTGTCCATACATTGTTACATGTGCAGATTTCTGGGTGGTCCGGGAGCACAAGTGCAGCAAACAGTCAAGGCTGTTCGGCCCCTCTAATTCTGAGACTTAAGTTTAAAAGTTGGTGCCATGTCGGATGCCACGGACCCCACAGATGCCGCGACAACAGAGGATTTTCTCAACATTGCGCCCGACCCTGGTCCGAACTTAGGCAAAGGCTATGGCCCGAACCAATTAGGTTTAGGGGTTGAGGGTTTGGGAGTTTAGGGTTTAGGGACTCACACCCGATATCTTGAATCCCCCACCCTAAATTTCGATCTTTTTGCCTGATGATGAGTGGTTAGTGCGCCTGAGTGAGATTAGTCGTTTAGAATCGCGTCCTTGGCTACTGAAAGGTTGCGGGCTCAGGGTATTAACCCTGAACGTCTAGCTCAAAATTTAATGTAATGATATGATATAGTACAACGTTGACAAATTTGATGTAGTTCCATGTGATATAGTATAATGAATAATGATAGAGAGTTTTGAGGGTGCACTTCTGGCTTCTGGAAGTTTTTGAGCTGCAGGCTCGGGCAAGGTTGCAGGACATTAAAACGGCGAGCTCGTAAAATCCTAAACCCAAGTTACCAAGTTGGCTCAAAGAGGAGAGGGGGGGGCGTTCCCCGATGGCATGCGCACAACACCAATCTGTTTTGACTACTAGCCATACATCCTTCAAGTAGACTGCGAAGCTTAAAACCCTGAACCCAAAAGTATTTGCAGGGACATGTCTTATTTAACGGGCAAGTTGGGCTTTCTGCGACAAGCTAACCTCTTAGGGTTTAGGCTTGACCGGTGGCCCGGAAAGTCAAAGGGGGCAAAGTAGGAACCCTTAATGGGGACCCCGACCCTGTAATGGGCTATATCATGGGTATATAATAGCTATATTAAGGGTATATACCTAGGGGTCCTTATTAAGGGTCCCTCCTTTTACCCTTGGAGAAAGCCAACCGTTTTAAGCAAGTGTAGGTTACTCAGCTCCATTATATAACTCATATTGTAGAAGCCAGAAAGTTGGAACATCATTATCCTCATGCCCTGAAGCTGAAGTCTAAGGGATCCTAGCACTAATCCTCCCAAAGCCATATTCCAACTTTCGGGCTTCTACTATGGGAGGCCAGAAGGGGTTTTGGCCTATGGGGGTTTAGTAGGGATTAGGGTTCCCATAACAGGGTTCATGTTAAGGAATCCCTACTTCAAGAATCAAAAAAGCCCCTTTTGGCCGGAGCTTGGCTTCAGGGTTCAAGGTTTATGCGGCTTATGTTCTGGACTTTAGCTTCAGGTATTTTAGGCCTTAGGGTTTATAGGGTTTGATTATGGGGTGTTAGGGCATTTAAAGTTTCAGGCCCCGCACGCTAAACCCCAAACCCAGATCCCCACAGTTGAAGTTGCAGCATGGTAGCTTTCCTCGGCCGTAATTGTGGAGCCCGGTCCAGTCAATGGCGGAAGTTTAGGCACAGGTCAGCCAGACCCTTCCCCAAACCCTATAACTCCCTCTTCACCGGAACATGCGAGAGAGGGAAAGACTTACCTTGGGCTAGTAGGGAATGGAGGAATGGGGTACAATTATAACTGCTATTACTACCATTCTTGTATTCCCTACTAACCAAAGGTAAGAAGCGAGAGAGAGAGAGAGAGAGAGAGAGAGAGAGAGAGAGAGAAAGAGAGAGAGAGAGAGAGAGAGAGAGAGCGAGACTAAACGCTTGACTGTAAACCGAAAGTCCCTGCAAGTCGGTTCAGGCATCAGCGAAAAATGGTCGTTGGTATTAGTTGCTAGCCAATCGGGTGGCTAAACAAGTTCTGACAGCCTCAGTTCTAAACCCTAAACCCCAAACCCTAAACCCCAAACCCTAAACCCTAAACCCTAAACAACCCTAAACCGGATGTGTTGCACCCCGGACCCCTCCGAGATTGTGCATGAAGTGCCCTTGAAGACCCCGTACGATTCCGCCCTTAAAGGGTCCCTCTAAACACTCCCTCATCCCATCGGAGCAGCTACTTAGGGTTTAGGGTTTAGGGGCCAGAGATTCCGACACCGCTTCATAGAGGAGACTAACCTTTTAGTCATATGGGTGGTTGTCAAAATTATGGTCGCCCCAAAATATAGTACGGCACCTAATACTTGGGGTACCCAAAAAGGGACCCCTGTTTTGACAACTACCCATATGATGGCAAAATGGAGGCTTTAGACCACATTAAAGATCCCCTTATTGTGATGCGCTGGAGTCACGTGCTTCAAACATGGCATTTAACCGTCAACCCTTATATGAAACCCATATAGACCCCTTTTTTACAAGGAGGTGGGTTTAGGGTTTAGGATTTAGGGGTTCAGGGTTTAGGGTTGAGGGTTTAGGGTTTAGGGGGAAGTATAGTAACCCTTTCAGACTCCCTTTAAAAAAAACGCCTGCATAGCAAACCCTCTAGACCTTGAAGGCAGCCCTTGTAGAAGCCCTCGTTAACCCCAAACTCTACACCCTACCAGGAACCTTTTCCTTCCTTAATAGAGAGTAAGTGGGGGATAAGATAGGGTAGTTGGGGGGTTTAGGTACATCCTAAACCCGAATCCCGACGTTTCAGCTTAAGGAAACTATGGAAGAGCTCCTGGCAACAATCGTCTCACGTGACGTGGCTCTACATCCGAAGGCTCAAAGTTTGAGGCTTAGGCTTTAGGGCTGAGGCTCTCTAAATCGTACAGTGGACCCCAGAAAGTTGGAACATGGCTTTGGGGATTAGTGCTAGGATCTCTTATACTTTACCTTTGGGGCATGAGGATAATGTTGTTCCACCTTTTTGGCTACTACTATAGAGAGGCCATGTACCCAAGCAATAGGGATTCCAGCTATTTGGGCAGTTGGCCCCGTATAAACTCAGAAGTCAGACAGTTGGAAGAACCGTTTATGGCTTATGGCATGTAGCTGAGCTGATGATTGGAATATCCTTTTTGGAGGCCATCTTAAAGTTGCTGTAGCGTCCCTAAACCCCAAAGCCCGAAACCCCTAAACCATAATGTTTTAACTCTGTTTGTATGCTAGTACTCGTTGCTACTGTATGGCTCAAGTATGAAAAAGGATTCGTGCGTCCTGCTGTTAACAATAGGTTATCAGCCGTAGCTTGTATAGCTCTTCGTAGTGCAATGGACACCACAGCTCCAACAAATCCTGCAGGTGTGCCTATCTCCGAACTAGGTGATGACGACACGGAGTCCGCCCGCTCGAGATCGAATCTGGGCGCAGAGCTTCCGGTTGTCACCGCCCGGGAGGGTCGGGTAGCTCTCACTGAGCAGACGCTCCGTTCACATGTTGGGTCCCTCGGACCTCAACCAGCATATGTACCATCACGAGCGTCGCTGACACATCACCCCTCACCCACAGTCGTAGGCTATTCTCCGGTGCCTCCAACGCACACCTCCGTCCCAACTGTTGTGAATCAGTTGTATCAGCATCAGCAAAACGTTCTGATCAGTGCGGATCCGGCACTGATAATGGACACAGCAAATGCCAGACATGCTGAAGCCGTTCGTCACATCCAAAGCGAAAACAGGGAGCAGATGCTTGCTTTGGAAACAGGTGCCATGAGTCAAGTCGCTCAGCTGAGGCTTGAGCATGCACAGTTGCAATCAAAAGCCAGAGCCTTTGAAGAACAGGCTAATCAAAACATCCCTGCTGGTCGGCAGGCCGTAGCCCAATACCAGATTGAGGCTGAAGCAGCCGCTGCTGAAGCTGAGCAGCTAAGGCAGCGCCTCTTATCCGCTGAACAGACAGCTGCGAATGTTGTCGCCCAGGTGGAAACCGAGGCTAATCGCAGGCTGCAGGCTAATCAAGCCGACGTGTCAGCTCGTGACAACGAGCTCTCTCGCCTTAAAGGTGAGATGCAAGAGATGATGAGGATTCAAGCCCTCAACATGGAGATGCTGCAAAAGGACAATGCCGAGCTAAGAACACGCTTGGCGGAAGCCAAAGCTGACCCATTGGGCAATGAACCGGAACAGGCCGGGCCTCCTGGTCTAGGACCCTTTCCGATCCATACTCCTCCTGGCGAACCACATGAAGCGCCTGAAAAGAGCGGTAAGAAGGAGAAAAAGAGCAAGAAATCCAAAAAGCACAAGAAAGATGATTCGTCAGATTCATCGTCTTCTTCCATCGACAACAAGATCCTTCTCAAGATGCTTAAGAAGATGGTGAAATCTAAGAAGTCTGATAAAGAGGATGATGATGAAGAGAAGGGTTCCTCGAGTACCAAACCCAAGGTCAAAGAGGCTGAGAAAGTCGTGTTTCCCAAGTTTCCCCAGCCTGAGCAGTACCGAAACTGGCGCATAAGGGTCCGTGAAGCCATTGTCGCCGCATCGGATTCGCCTGACAAGGCGCACGCCTGGCTCAGTAAGGTCTGGGAGAAGGACGCCGACGAGAAAGAGCTTCGCGACCCGGAGGGGTTTAGCACCTTGGATGCCAAGATCCTTTCTGGGCTCACCAATATCCTTGAGGGTGATTTCGCTAGACAGACTGATACCTTCAAGGAAACCGAAGCTCACGCCGGAAGGCTGGTGAGAGGGAGACAGTTGTTGTGTCGTCTTCACAACCACTTTGCTACCAATGCACTCCATGGCTCGGTGTATGACATGGAGGACCTGATGAATTGCATCATGGTCAACGAAAACCTCACCACCTTCATTAGAAACTGGGATACGGTGCTCTCTGGGATTCCCAATCCTCCAGACAACAGCGTGCTTGAACCCCTGTTCCATAGACAGGTGAAGAAGTGCAAGGAAATCGATCACGACATCCAGGTCTATGAACGCGCGCTGGAAGGTAGCGAGCAAAGGTCCTATCAGTTCCTGTATAACGCGGTTGCGAATCATCTGAAACGCAAGCGATTGCAGAAGAACCGCGAGCGCATTGCTCGGCAAACAGGTGTGCCTACTACGCCTGCTGCTGCACCGGCCCCCAAGCGTATTCCCAAAGGGTATTGCGTTGATTGGGTCAAGACCGGAAGTTGCAAGAGAGACAATTGCCCGTACAAGCACCAACAGCCTAGGGGGCGTTCTCACACTCCTGCCGGAGGTCGTACGCCTACTAGGACCCCTAGCCCGGGAGGGAAAGGTAAAGGCAAAAAGCAGGAATGCAAATTCTTCAAGCAAGGGGTTTGCAATCGTGGAGATAAGTGTAACTTCCTCCACAACGGCCAACCTGCCGCAGCCGCCCCGGGCAGCTCAGGTGCACGAGCGAGCAGCAGCGAGAAGAAGGAAAAGAAGCACAAGAAGAAAGAGAAGAAAAGTGGTAAGGGCCGCAAAGGCTCCAGATCTAGCTCCAAGAGCTCTTCAAAGAGCGGCAGCCGAAAATCAAGTAAGTCTAGCCAAGGCTCGAAGGGTTCGCGTGGCTCAGGTCGTAAGGGTGGTGCGCCCTCCGTTCCCGCTGCAGTTTGCTTATTGGGAGCAATGTTGGCTGGCTCAGCAGCCCAAGCCGATGCATTCACATTCCGGAAGGATATGTTGAGCAATGCCGACGTTTGCACCCCGCACTATCATGTCGCACTGGCCGCAGTGTCATTCAATGACACTACTGAAAGTTTCACATACCAAATTCCAAAAGGTAATGGCCTCTACCCCCTCGATGATCGCAATAAGCCAAGGGAGTGTAGCCAAGTATATCCCGCCAACAGCCATTGGAAAGCCGATCCTGATTCCGTGAAGGAAGCTCAGGTAACCGCTAAGATGTTGCAAGCTGTTGTCAGTGATGAGGTCAAGGGCTGTAGACCGCAGTGCAAGTTCAAGTGCAACACTGAGTTTGGATGCAAACATTGCATTCCGAATGGTTTGAAGTTCAACTGTGCCGCACCCGCCAGCAGCAAATCGCCGTGCTTGTGCATTGAATGGATTGCTGATACTGGCAGTGCACAAGATCTCATCGCCCAGCGGGAGCTTGGGCAGGCGAAGGCTTACGAGTCACCTGCGCCCATTCAAATGATGACTGCAAATGGGCCAAACTCCGCTTCAGAACAGTGTGATGTTTCTGTTGACTCCATTGGGATTGAGGTCAAGCCATATGTTCTTCCTGACACCCCATCTGTCCTTTCAATAGGACAACGATGCATGGAAGAGGGATTCGATTTCATCTGGAGGGCTAATTCACGACCGTACCTTAAGACTCCCGAAGGGAAGAAGGTCTACATGGACGTTAAAGATAATGTGCCGTACTTGAAGTCCTGGCATGAAAACATCAGCGTCCCTGCGCGTCGGGCCTCGTCCGGTCCTAGTAAGACGCAGATCATTGAAAGCCCCTCCGCGGCCGGAAGGCCAGCGCCGGAAGAGTCATCCGAGGCTATCGCAAAGAAGCTTCGAGAGTCTGGCGACTTCTCACATGCATCATGTTACTCCTTGTTAAACAAGGTAGCTTTCAAGGCCTCTAAGAAGCAGAGGTCTATCATCGCCAAGGGTCCAAAGTCCTCTAAGAAGAAGTCCGAGTATGTTGTGCTTGGAGCCTTCTCGCATGGCGGGATGCAAGGCATCACTAACCGCAGTCACCAAAACAAGGAGCTGATGAAGTTCCTTAATGAGTATCTGAAACATCATGGTGCTAAAGGACCCAGCTCTTCACTGTGCATCAACCACGGGTCCAGCGTCAAGGTGCACAAAGATGCTCACAATCATCGTGAACATAAGAACAACGCTATGTGTTTGGGTGACTTCGAGGGAGGCGAGCTTTGGATTCATGATGAAGAAATCAGCAGGGAGGACAAAGACTATGCTTCTGTTCGCACGCCTGACGGCAGTAAGCTGAAAGGCAAAGTTCACAAGTCCAAGCATCGTATGCTTACGTTTGATCCCAAGACGTACCACTGCGTCCGTCCCTGGAAGGGTGACAGATGGAGCATCACATCGTATGTGAATCGTGCTGTGCACAAGCTTGATGCTACGCAGCTTGCGAGACTCAAAGAGTATGGTTTTAACGTGCCATCTAAGGTCTCAGCTCCGTCTTTGATCGAACCCGGTGATGAGGAAACTTCCTTGTATGACCTTGTTGCCGGAACACCTCCAGTTGAGAAAGGGGTCGAGTTACGTGCGAAGCCCAAGGTCAAGACTAAGGGTAAGCCTGAAAAAGAAAAGAAAGTTGAACCACCCAAAGAACCTGATCCTCCATCTACTTCGAAAGGAAGTGGTCATGATGACGAAGATGATATGGATTACCTCGGTCGTATCCTTGAGGAGGAAGGTTCTGATCTGGAAGATATGCCTAAGGATGATCCGGGTGCAGCTCGCGCTTCTGACGGAGCAGCTGTCGCCCCAGATGGGGATTCCGAGGGCGATGGGAAGAAGAGAAAACGGGGTATAGAAGTCCTGAAAGCTGAAGCCAAGTCGCTGCATCATATGATGTCGCATCAGCCGAAGAATCCGTTCTGTGATATTTGTCAAAGGGCTAAGATGTACAAACCTCCTTCATATGCGACTGGAGGGGTGCGTACTATTGAAGCCAAAGACTTTGGTGACTATGTTACAGCAGACCACATCGTGCTCTATCGGGACAAGGACACCATCATAGAGGACTCCCGGCTGGCGCTGGTGATTAAGGACGTTGCAACAGGTTTTTGCTATGCCTACCCCTCAGCTCTCAAGTCAGCTGAAGAATG